CACTGGATAGAAATTATTACTAAGAAGTAATAAAATTTATTATCTGTTTTGCCCGGATTATATTTAAATATATTTAAAACTGAGAAAATATTGCAATTTTGGTACAAAAAATTCTTGACGTGCGTGGCACGTCATTCCAGCGCAAGAGGTTAACATTTGGAGCTTGATTACCTGGTGATGGTTCGTCTGTGGATTATCATTGGAGGCTTCCTGAGCCGGTGGCGGCGGTGGCGGAGGGCTCGTTCGCGGGCGAAGAGGAGACCCTCCACCGTTTGCCGCCACATTTGCTGGTGCCAGTGGGATAGACGGACCGACGTACGCCCCTGAAATTCGATCAATCGTTAACATTGCATTATCCTTCCGTTATGACAAATTTGTATTCTACGTTATTGAAATTAACGTGACCAAGCGCGATCGCCAATCGTGAAAATACGAGGAAAAAAAAAAAGTTTCACTCAGAGTGAGACATCCGACATAACCTACAAAAGCATAGTCTCGTACAAGAACAAAGACTCGAACGGATCATTGAAAGACAGAAATAGATATATCCTTTCCCCTCTTCTTTCATCGTAGAACGAACAACACGTCGATGCGATTATGCTAATTGAAACGAACGAATATAAACTTTTGTATCGTTCGCATCGGGGGCAGAGACGAGGCAGGGCCTCGTTCGATTGGATTCTTATAAATAGGGCTGACAATAGTGACACGCGGATATTCGACCGATTTCCAACAGGCCTAGAAAATCAAATCGGAAACAGCTGCTGTCCGTTAAAGCTCGATAGGTTAAGTTTAGGTTAGCTCGAACGTTGCCGTGAAATTGATATTCCGCTGATCGAACGACATATGCAAGACGTGCCAGCTGTATTACGAGGTGTACAGCTTTTCGTAACTTATTTGCTTTCATGAGCGTGTGCGATCGTCGCCGCTACGCTCTCATGCCTTGATATGTACACTACTTATAGGACACCACATCGTGAAGTTACGCATTCTGATTGTTTACGAATCGTTTCCACATCATCCTAGGGGTCACTTTCAACGATAAAATCATTAATACGATACGTATTGATACTACATATAGTCGAATTTTCGACATATCGGTTCGACAATAAAATACAGAAAATACTTGATATTCTTTGTCAATTATGTTAAATATATGTTATAATTGTCATAATTTTCAATTATATAAATATTAATCGCAAAATTATCGATGATTAAAATGTAGTCACCAATCTTCGAATTTTTGCTGCAATTTTTTTATAAAATTTAATTTTCAATTAAAAATAAACATAGAGCACAATTAGAATTTTCATAGGACATATTACAATTATTGTTCTTTGTATACACTTTTATTGTTATGGCAAAATTACAATTTGATCATGATTTAAACGGAATAAGAGGTAAATATAAAAGCCAAAATGCAAATAACAATTAAACTGATTGGAACCTAACCTCTAAAAAATACTTCAAAAATAGTAGAAAGATAAATTTTTATATAGTAAATTTTTATGAAATACGTTTCAATCAATTATTTTGCCTCGCATTGTTGTTATTATTATTACAATTGAAAATATTTCAAAATATTGTTGGACTTGTAAAAAATATTGTAAGTCACGAAGAATCGTGCGATACTACGTTATTTTTATATTGCTAATTTTCTTAAAGTCGTTCATTAAAATAACATGTATGCACACCGATAGTTAATAATTCGTTTCCTTATTTAAAAGTGCATTCTCCTCCTGCTTAATTAATTATACATTAAAAAAAAAAGGTCAACGAACAAAAAGAGAAGCATATTCCACTGAATTTATTTTATCTATCCATAGTACTCTCGTAGCATGAACGAATGCTACTAACACATTTGTATCAATTTTACACTATACATACAAAAAAAAATTATAAAAATATATTTATAAATTTTATGTAAATGATATACTTGTATTAATATTTTGTGCAAATAATTCCACAAAGGTGGGAGGAAAAATGTAAGTGAAAGTGGGATTTCTTTATCTAAACACGCCGATTATTCGTACTTGGAACCCACGAGCTTCGACGAACGGGCGATGTCATAATTTTACCCTGCTGTTCCACGCATCACGGTTATCAACGATCACGCTACGCAACGAAATTTACTCCGGTTATCTTGTTACTTTTCTAGCGCGATGTTTACGCGTTTACATATTCGCAAGGAACGCATTCCGCCGGGCACGAGCAGATAAAAGCTCGACCGCGATCGATACAAAAGAAAGAAGCGTTCGTTTCGTCACGTCTTCTATGGAGGACCGTGACACGCGATATCTCCCCGTCGAGTATATATCGAAGAGGAACAAGCCTTGTGTATTTCAGTGGGACGCAGCATCCGCGCACGTATCTCTCCCCCCTCCATGAACCGACCCCAAGAATACGAGTCACCGAGAGATCTCGGCTAGAACGTGGTCTGCCATAGGGAAGACGTGTGACCGGTACTTTTCCGTGACGACTCTGATAGAGAAGCCGAGGACCGTTGGCGCGTCTCACCGCTCCGCTCTATCTCTTTCCATC